GCACGTGGGAGCGCGGCTGCGAGCGCTGCCTCCCAGCGCCGGGCCCCGGCGGCCGTGTTGGCTGTCACGGGGAGTTCTCACTGCATCAGCGTAATAACCTCGAGTGACCCTGTGTTTGTTACCTGGCGGTGGTTGGGATTCGTTTGCGTGTTTTTAAATGCGCTATGTTAAGCCCAGTGTGGCTAGGTATGATTCTCTAAGTTAAAGCTAAAAACCATGTGTGTGTCTATAGAGACATAGACGAGCGTGTTCCTTCTGCGAGTCCCCTTTTTTGAGAGGTTTCAGCTTTTGTGCCCCAGCATATATAACAAGGTTTTGTTACCTGGCGGTGGTTGGGATTCGTTTGCGTGTTTTTAAATGCGCTATGTTAAGCCCAGTGTGGCTAGGTATGATTCTCTAAGTTAAAGCTAAAAACCATGTGTGTGTCTATAGAGACATAGACGAGCGTGTTCCTTCTGCGAGTCCCCTTTTTTGAGAGGTTTCAGCTTTTGTGCCCCAGCATATATAACAAGGTAAGTTACTTTAACAAACCCATATGTTGCCTCTTGTCGCTTTACCTGCGGCTTATTTTGTGCGGTTCTTCAGAAGTTTGGCTTGTCAGAGTTGCCTTGCACGCTCCCAGCCTTGCTTCTGTCTAAATCAAGACAAGCTATCAGAAAGCCCATGTTTGTGAACTTTCTTCTATTTTTTCCCTCCTGGAAATCGGAAATAAATCAGAAGTGTGTGAGATACAGTGGCATGTGATTTTCCACTTGCAGCAAGCACAGCTCCTTAACTCTAAAGTGACCTGGTTTAAATGGAGGTCAGTGCTCCAGCGGGTTGGATTTGTCTAGGATTGGTACCTTCAAAATTTTGGAAAATTTTTAAGACTTTAACAGGGTATCTCTCTGCCTGTGAGCTGTTTGAAAGTCTTTCCCCCGTTTGATGTTCATAGTCCTCCTCGGGTTTTGTCAGACCCTGCGTGAACTCAGTGTGTGCTTGCTGCGCCCCTCTTGTGCACACCTGTGTTCCGTGTGTGTGCAGTCAGGCCCTGCTGCCGTCGCTGACACGCTATCAAATGAATAATCGTAAACCTTGACCCAATAGCTCGTCTTCCATTCCTGTTTGCATGATCGACACACTTTGTACTTTTAAAAAATGGATGTTACAGTTGATTTTATTTGATCAAAGGTTTACGTCAATTTTTACAATGCTAAAGATTGTGTGCATGTGTGCCTAAGTGAACACGCGAGACTTGGCTGAACAGATTAAATCTTTACATTGGGAATTGCTTCTTTTTTTCTTTTTCTTTTTTTTTTTTTGCAAGGGCTTCCTATCTGTTAACCGTATGTATGGCAGGAAAAGTGATTCTTCTCTAAACAGAAACAAGAAAAACACGTAGCAGGCAAACTCTAAGCCTTTCCCGCTTAAATGCTTAGCCTAAGGGATACCTAAATACATCACAAGAACTAGGCATTTCTGAGATGTATAACCTTTGCTCTCCAGGTGCTGGTCTCCCTGAAGATTTTTATGCTGTTTGACTCTCATTTGAAGGGCAAATCATTGTGTTCAGAAATAGAAGTTTTACAGCTGCAGCACTCAAATAGTCAAAGTATATATGTGAAGCTGTGTTACAACAAGAGTTTTTTAATGAGATCGAGACAACTGCAGAAGATAGAGGCAAGAACTCTAGGAATCTTGGCTAATGAGCATATATTGTGTACGAGTATAGCAAAATATAGGTTTAAGCAGTTTGGTATTTCGTATTGGTGATTAACCCGCTCACACGTTCACCCTGGTTGACCACATCATGGGTCAGCTGCTCTCCTGCTCAGGGGGCAAGAGGGGACCTTGGTGGATGGTTCCTGCTTCCCGCTCCTTACGGGACGACTGCCCAGTTTTACAGTGTTAGTACTTTGCTAGCTGCATGTTAGCCTTCATTAGCTTCTTTGGTACGTGGCCAAGATTTGATAGGCCTTATCCGAATATGTATTTTTGGTGAGACAATGAAGTGATCCTAGTTTCAGGTCATTCTGTACTGGTTTTGTATCAAAGGCTTTTATAACAACAGCAGTGTCATTTCAGGAAAAATCCTACGCGTATCAGCAAAAACATTCCTCACAGCTGCAGCCATCAGCAAAAACAAGAGTTTAAGAGTTTTTATTGCACAAGGGTGAGTGATGAGGAAATCCACCACATGTTAGCCTGTGTGAAGACATTAGACTGCCTTAGCCCAAGTAGTCTTATGGCAAGGCGTTCTCGCTAGTTGTAACAGTGTCTTCAGCTGGAGTATTGCATGATTGTTATACGTTAGAAGGTACATACTATTCCTCTTTGGTTCTTCTCCTCTGAGCCTGTCTTCCAGTTCCGCAGAAATCATGGCCTTGCGACAGAATCATGTATTCTAGTAAACATTTTCTATTCTCAGTATGTGTTTTTCTAACCTTGACATAGCTCCAGTTTTGTTCACTAATGTTTTTCCGGTGTCTGCTCTCCCTCTGTAGTGGTTTTTCAGTTAGCCAAAGCTGCGGAGTTTAGTCTCAGTTAAGATGAGGTGAAATGTTTTTAAGGAAAAGACCTGCCACTACCTCTGTGTCTGTCATACAGGTGGTGTAATAAGACATGTGACTCAGGCAAATAAGCAATTCCTGTCCTGAAGGCTTTAAGGATACAAACCAAACAAGGTTAGAGAAGAGAATGAAATGCCAAGTCTGGAGCGAGCTGTTGCGCACACACTCATGCACCCTTTAGTTGTCAGCAGATACCTGAAGCTGGGGGGGGGGAAGAAAAAAGCAAACTCAGGCAGTATGTTGTGAAAAATTAAGCTAGGCTGAGAGGATATTGTGATTGTTCCTTCTTGGGTAGAGTGGAGCAGGGCAAGAAACAGCCAAGGTCATTAGTAACAAAAATAAAACGAGCAGGCATGTGCTGCTGATTGAGATGGAGGCATTCAAACAGTGACAGGGCCAGTAGTTACAGGTGATTAAACATACTCTGAACTTAGCCCCATGAGGTAAATCGTGATTGTTCTTAGTGCAAAACTGGCCTGTGTGTGAACAGATCTATCAAAATGCCTGAGCATTCAGCGTAATATTTATACTCCTAAACGAGCCATACCTTGAAAGCAGTTTCGGGAAGAAATAGGAATGATAACCAGGGTGTGTAGGGTAAGAATGCCTAAGACTGTACTGTTACTATCAAAATGGTACTTCATATCAAGGAGTCAATTCTTAACGTATTACTGTGTCTTATCCCTTTAGCTAGAAAGTTTGAGAAAGGATATGGTGTATTTTCAAAGTGGCAGTCAGAGGGCATGATAATTCTTGTGGTGTTGTTCCCTCTCTCCCCGCCCCCCTTCCACCCTCCAAGATTTCTCCAGAGTGGTTTGCCTTCTGCGATATATTTGCAGCAAGCGTCCTGTCTGAATCAAAATAGAAATGAAATGACTCAATTTGAAGTCGAATGCTATTTTTACTGGTGACAACTGTTCTTTAGACCTCTCTTCTCACTGTCAAATTAGTCATAAAGACATCTGCTTTGATTATTTTTCTTGCTATTTTCCACACTGATATTTTCTGATTGCTTATGATAATTTAAATTACATTTACACAGTTACGATGTAACTTTATTTTTTTAAAGCAACACAAATATTCCTAAATGCTCGTGAGCCCCGAATCTTTTTCAAGACTTTGCTCTACTTCACTAATAGAAAATCAGCCAGTATGTCATTGCAAATACGTTTGGCACAGGATTGGTGGAGCAGTAAATAGCAAGGAGGACTGGTAACAACTGGTGAGGTGAACTTGCTCTCGTTTTCTTTTGCAGTTTGGGACACCCTCATCTGTAAAAACTGAGAGGGTCACTCTCTCCTAATTAGTTTAAAGCTATTGGAAGTGCCTCATGATAACTTTTTTTTTTTTTTTAAAGTCCTGAACTAATAGAGCTTAGTTTCAGAAAGGCTGAAAAGTTTTAGTCTAATTAAAGTCTGACTCAGCATAGGGGTGCCTGAGTGAAATTTAATGGCCATATACGTGTATGTCATATACGTGTATGACATATACGTCGTATGTCATATGCGTGTATGACACTAGATGAGAGAAAACTCGTGTAAGTGATAAAATGTGTATTTAGTAATTAAATAACTTTAAAGTATTTCTTTGAAATAGGGGAAAGGGGATAAAACAGAAGGAGGCATTTGACTGAACAGATTGAGAATCTCATTTTGAAATTTATTGTTTGAAAGGAAGTCCTTATTTTAATGGAATAAGAATGCAGATGCTCAAAAGGGGTATGAAAAAGCTAGAAGATCCATACGAGATGGAGATGGACGATGTATTCTGTTTCAATAGATGACCTGTATTCCATTTCCATAAAAGTTGTTTGTTTATTTTCCTTGGTTGAAATTAGCTTTAAAGGTGTGAAAAGGGTAAAGACCATTCCAATTCAAGGATGTCAAGTCAGATTTTCTGTACTGTAACATACAGGTGTTGGCTCTCTAATAAAGTAAGGGTATCATTATTACATTTTCCCTCCCAAAGGGTATGCCTGTAATTGCAGGAAAAAAACTCTGTGCAGTGATCCACCACTGTGGAACAGACTGTATTTGCTTATATGTCACTAGATGCATGGACACACATGCATTTTGAGAAGCTGCATATTGACCTTTCAAAAACCCCTGTACTCAGGGTCTGTCTGCTCTTAGTAGACATCTTTATTGATGGAAGAACAAAGCCTTTTGTGAAGTTAGTGTTACTCCTCAAAAGGGGGCAAGACTAACTTTTTATTCTAGTTGACCCAGAGTTATTCATCTTTCTGCTCAGCAGTAAATGGCAAAAGTATACACTGAGGGGCACAGGCAGATGGACGATAGTGTATTTTGGTGCTCGTGTTCTTTACCCGACTGCTAATCCAGTAATCGGAGGTACTTTTGGAGTTTCAACTGGTCTCCATACAAGACTGCTCCTTGAATAGATAATTTTACTTGAATGTCTATGTAACGTGCCTCGTTCAGAATTACTGGTAACAGCCAATATATTTGGTACTCATAAATTTGATTAGCTGTAACTTGCTTTAAGGAGGCATTGGAGAATTTTTTTGGGGACTGGAGACAGTGGCTGTTTTCCATACAGTCAATACTGAAGCAAAGGAAAACGCTTATTTTGTTTCTGTTTTCTTAGATATTGTTAAATACAGGTGTTAATGGGGGAATTTGAGTTGAAATGACTGTTTTTCCTGTGCAGCTTGCAATCGTAGAGAACTCAAAGAAATGCGGAGGCAGTGAGAACTGGGAGCAGGGTTTCTCGAAGGGGGAAAGGGAGCAAGCTGTAGTATCAGACATAAGTGAGCAGTTAGCAGAAGGAATTTCAGAAGTACCTGATTATATTACCGATGGTGAGAACCCACACTCCCTTAGTAAAATGCACAGTTCTTTTACGAGATCACTCATAAATTATATGTATAAATGCAATTATTTGGTTAATTGATTTTAGTACGGCAACAAGACTGTGTTCATGCGCAGAAATTCCAGCTTCTGGTCTTACTGTGCTTTGTTTTCTGTATCACCTTGTTTTGCTTTTCTCTCCTCTTTTCCTTTACAACCTTAGAGCCCCTCATTTCTGTTCTTCCTGCAGGTTTCTCCCCAAGGTAGGTAGTTCCATTTTCTCTTCGAGATATACTAGAATTTGTGTCTTGTCCTGTGGTGTGTGGATTTTTTTTGTTTGGTTTATTTGTTGTTTTTTTTTTTTTTAAACTAGGAGTGGATTTATTTTTGGATAAAAAACATATGAAGTAGCAAAAGGAGATATCTCAATTTACATAGGTAGATCATAGGGTGAAAAAGTGGAAAGAATGTTTCCACAAAAAGTGGAAAGAAAGTCATAGCGTAGAGGGTGGGTTTTTTATATATATATATACTGAATTCAGCTGTCTGTATTTTGTTTTAGATTGTGATTTGAAGTTGTGGAGAATTCCTGGTCTTCCCACAATGGGAGAAAGGACTGATTGTACCAAGTCGCATAGCTCACTGGCTGAATACAGCCCCGTCAGTAAATCAGACAGGACAGATTCAAGTGACAGCTGTGAAATGCATGATGGAAACCAAAATACAATGCAGCTGAAGAAAGAAATATCTTTGCTAAATGGGATAAGCCTTATAGTAGGCAACATGATTGGTTCAGGTATCTTTGTCTCTCCCAAAGGAGTTCTCATCTACAGCAAATCTTATGGATTGTCTCTAATAATTTGGGCAATTGGAGGGATTTTTTCAGTCTTTGGAGCTCTCTGCTATGCTGAACTCGGAACCACTATTACCAAGTCGGGAGCCAGCTACGCGTACATCTTGGAGTCTTTCGGGAGCTTCATTGCTTTTATTCGTTTGTGGACCTCGCTCCTAATTGTTGAGCCAACTAGCCAGGCGATCATTGCCATCACCTTTGCGAACTACCTAGTTCAGCCTTTCTTTCCTTCTTGTGACCCTCCATACCTTGCTTGCCGTCTCATAGCAGCTGCTTGTGAATGTAAGTATTTCTTGAAATGTACTATGGTAATTTTCTATCAAGCTTTATTAAAATGAATCCTACTGAGTCCCAGAGTTGTTGCATGCTGAATCCGGAATGATTCAAGTTACAGCGGGGGAAAAAACAATTTCTAGCTTGTGAATAACTTCTAGGTATGTAATCAGTTAACTAACAAATTTTCTCATCCGAAAGCAGAACAAGATATTTGACTCTTCACAGTTTACTTGTGTGGGAGAAATGCATGGGATAACTATATTTCCTTCAGAGAGGCAGACTAAATCAAACTGCAGGATATTCTTGGTATGGTCTAAGAGCATACCTGGAGTTACTGCAGAACAGCTCGTATGCTGTAAATTCTGCTGTAATTTTTCACAGTAGCGTCTCAATGTAGACCTGCTTAAGTGTTTACTCTGGTAAGTTTTCAGGAGGTCATTCATTCAAGATTATTCTTCATGCTTGTGTCTGACAATAGCGTATCAAAAAAGGTACCTGTTGTAAAGCTGGTTTGAAAAGTGGAAAATGTGTGTGTATAAAGAACATTGAAATATTTCAAATCAGATAGCTAGTTCCATTAGTCAATATAGAAGAGCAGCGTCAGACTGTCGGTGTGCTTCAAATCAGGACTGTTCTGCTGTGTCGAGAGAATGGAACCCTGTAGTATGTGTCTTATTTAATTGTAGGTATTTCTTGTTGAAAGTGTTTTATTATATATACATATTTTACATTTCCAGCAAACACGGAAAAATACATTTTAGAATTTCAGCTATGGCAAGCATTTGTCATATTTTGATCAAAGTTGCTGTGTGCTGTGGAGCCTTCTGTCACAAACTGATGTCCTTATCAGAAAGCTAAGAAGGAGCTTGTGCTTTTTTACCCCCAGCAACATGCTCTAGGAGGGAGATGTGTTGTTCCTAGTTGGTTCATTTTGGGGCAACAGGGAAAGCAGTCTGCTGAAGCAGCGGTAATGCTCTTTGCAAAAGTTGTACCTGTAGGACTAGAGGAGGGAAAAGAGACAGAATAGTAGTGTATGCTTCAAACATTAGACCTCTATAACTAGTTGTAAATGTTATACCTCTGCCTTCCATTTTTGCAAGTTAATTTATTGATGTGGAAGCGCTGATGTGGGAAAAAGAATTCGGGTCTAGCTCGTGTGAGGAATAATGGCAAATTTTTTTTTAATTTATTTTTCCAAAAAGAATTTCTGACTATGAGCCTCCTCAGTTCTGCTCACTTCCTTTCTCTCTCCCCCCTCCCAAACATGTGATCACACTTTGTCGTGACAGCTTCCAGAAAGAAAAGGAGGACATTTCATATTCCTTAAACAGGTATTGTTTCAAGGTATCCTAGCACAGATTTGGGAATGTGGAGGAATCTGCTCATCTGTTTAAGATATCTTACATCTGAGGGCAATTATCCCTTTAAAAACAAATACACACCCCCACTTCCCCCTCCCCCCCAAAAACACCTCCCCCACTGTTTATCAAAAAGCAAGAAATTAAGACAGTGATTCACTCCAGGGACCCAGTCTCCTTTATCAGAAAAATAAAATGATTATGTATAGCTGATGTAGAGTTAGAATGTGATGTCCTCTCTACCTGGTGCAAAGAGAAGAAATGTGTCGCTCTTGTGTCACTTTTGTGACAGCAAGGTCACTCTCATGTAGATGCAAGAGTCACTTTAACAGTCCATTTTGTGGTCTAAATGCTTGTCCTGCCCTCTTTCAGACATCAGCTCTGAGATTCTCACCCCTCCTCTACTATTTCATGCAGCTGCTGCTGCGGAAGGCTACCCTTCTCCCTGGCAGAGCTGGTGTTGTGTGTCATGTTCTGATCCGAATGACCTCATTAATAAAGTATTAAACTTATCCACAGGTAGGAAGTCTGAACATTGGTTAGGTATAGATTGTAAGTGAGAAATTTTTTTTAAGTTTAAAAAACAAAAAAACCCCCAAAAACTAGATCTAATGTAAAATCTGTCTTGTAAAATCCACCGCGTTACATGTTGTTACTACGTCACTTGTTTTGGAAATAGGGATAGCATCTGGCAGAGCAGAATGATACCTGACAATTCTTAGCAGCTCTAAGTAGCTAAGTGATAATTAAGTTGAAGAAAACAAGAGAGAATAATTTTGATAAAAGAAAGAGGACATGGCCTATTCAGAGTCTTGATTATTTTTTTTCTTGATAGTCTTTTTCTTGAGACACCGGAGACAGAGTAGCGTTTCACCTAAATTGAAGACCAAGTCCCAGCACACTAAAATAAGAAAGAATTGATAGTCATTGCTCCCATGTTGAAAGCTGCTGTCAGAAAATCAACAGCTAAGATAAACCCTATGAGCAAATACTCTGTGGATTATACCAATCGTTAATGCTGGAGAGCAGAGAGCAAGCAGAGTTGTTTTTTTCCTGAGAATTTCTTGGGCGCTTCTGCAGTCGTAGCTTTTGAAACTTGATACAATTGTTTTTTTCCCCTCCTCATCTTGCCAAGCTCAGTGGAATCTGGTTCAGCCGTTTCCCTTGGCCAGGCTTTCTAGTCTGCTAGTGCCATGCTTTCATAAGATCATTACCTTTCTTTTGTTACTGTTTTTAAGTGATTAGTTTGCTGCTTGAGAGCTGCTCTAAGTGCATTTATATCTTAATACTATTATGTTCTTCTTGGATTATGGGAAAGGAAATAATTTATCACATCCTTTCATTTAATTTGTGTTTGCTACTACCTCACTTCTTGATTGATTTGAATTTTTATTTATACATATATTTAAAATACATAGTACAAGAAAATATTACAGAGGTATAAAGTGCAGTAGAATATAACCACTTGCAGGTAATAGTAGTACCTGCAAGTGGAAAAATTGTGATTTGGAGAAAATGCTGAAACTTTATGGTTGGGATAGATAATTTAAGGATAATCTGGATTAAAGAAAAGTGTTCACCAAACGAATACTTTCTTGAAGAAAGAACACTAAAGGTGCAGAGCCCTTCCTAACGTACAGCATCTGAGTTGAGGCAGAGGTTGTCTGGCTCTCCACGTAAGCAAAAGGAATGGATGCAAAAGAGAAATGATGAGAGCTATAGGAACAACGTGTTTCAACAGTAGCTTGAAAAGAGTTTTTACTGGGGAAGTTGATCATATGAGTAAGTTACTTGTGACAAAATACTTGTGAAATCTGAAAGTCTCACTTCAGTGCCATTCCCATCTTGTGAAATAGCTCTGACATTGATTTATTTTGGGGTAGGGGGATTAATGTATTCAGAATACGTATTACTTGCCACCAAATTCTTAAAAATCCAGACTGATGTTGCATTACCTGTAGACCATACGTTATTTGGTCAGATCTGTTCTAACTGTGCTTAGTAGCACCGTTTAACAGAGCTGGAAAAGGATATTGAATCACCTGTGACCTTACTCATTATTGCAAATAAATAAACGTTTTGAAGCTCTTAAAGGTTGTAAAACTCCATGGATGTTGAACTCTTCCTCAGATTAACAAGGAAGGGATAAAACAATTACAATACTTTTTAATATGTTTGCCTAAAGGGATTTCTAGGTAATCTTTCATGAATCAGAAGAACATTGCTAAATTGAAGTGAATCATTTCGTACAAATGATTTCTTTAGCTTCAGGATAATTGTAGAGTGCAGCTCATGAGGAGGAGTAAAATGAGGAAAACAGGCATATGATCAGAGAACATCTGATGTGAGGAAGGTCTTTCCTTCCCTCTTTTGAAAAAGTATGTATTCCGAATCTTTAGAAACATCTGTTTCCTACTGTTTTGTTTAAACCAGTGTATTTTGAGCACCAGTGTGTTTTGCTTAGTTTAACCCAAATACTAGTACAACAAGTAAGTGCATGTTAAGAGAATCATGGAAAAATCTTTGAAAAGTAAATTAAACTGAAAATTGTTTAAATTGTCTTTTTGCTTTTTCTTTGTTTTCTTCTAGGTCTTCTAACTTTTGTAAATTGTGCCTATGTCAAATGGGGAACGCGGGTGCAGGATGTATTTACTTACGCTAAAGTCATTGCTCTTATTGTCATCATCGTAACCGGACTCGTTAAAATCTGCCAGGGTAAGCTTATAAAATTAAAGCAAAGGTTTGTATGTATCAGTTATGTTGACTGACTGGTCTAGAGACTGTAAACATCTCTTTATAGGAGTTATAGAATACCTCAGTAAGTGCATATACAGCCACTTCGAAAACACCAATAATGCCAACGTTAGGAATAAATATCATGATAAGCTAGCCTATCTTAGTTGACTTTGAGATAGGTAAAAGAAAGTAACTGATTGTTCAGCCATATTGTGCAATTTACAGCCTGTGGTATGGAATAATAAGGGAAATGAAAACTGCAAAATACAGAGCTTGTGAAATACGATAGGAGTGGAGAAAGCTGTAAATTCCCATGAAGGAGCATAACTGCTTTACATTGAGCTTGACTGAAAATTGTTTTTATAAGATGAATTTTGACTCAGAGTGACAGAACTTCACAAATTTACTTATCTATTTTTGCAGAAATAGAAGCTCTTTTTTTGCTCAGATCCTGGATTCTTTTATAGCTGTTGAGAAGTAGAAAGTTACTGTCTTCTTGGATTTTTTTTTTTTTTTTTTTTTGGTAGGCATTGTGCCTTCAAGTTAGATGAGAACAATTCTGAACTAGGTTTTATTCTTACCCCTTCCTTTGGAGAAGATTTGTTGTTGTGTTAGCTTAAAAAAATTAGCCTGCTTTCAAAGCTGCCCGAAGGTCTTTACCTGGCACTTTGTGTCCTTTGCTCTAAGCAGTTATTGTCGAAAGTTCACAGGAACAAGAATATGAATAGGTGAGCACTATGCCAGTATATTCAGTCTTTAGCGTGTCTGCACCATCTTTTGTTTTGTAGATACTCAGTGTGTTTACTACTAACTTCCTTGATATTGTCTCCCTTTCCTGTTCCCAACTCAGCAGTTGCCTTGCCTTCATTTGTGCCGAGGGACTAGCAGTCAGATGAGAGTAAAAACAAGGAAAGGGAGAGATGCAGAGTTATAGCGGGGAACTCAAATGCTTGGCTGGCCAGTTTTGATAAGTCTAAATGTTTCAGGATGCACAGTGCAGTGCACATCTGGGAATTGAATAGTAGCTTGCCCTTCTGTATTTGATGTTTTTGTGCATGTCTATATATATAGAATTATTATGCTGACATATATGAGCTTGTCTTGACTTGCTTAAAGTCAAAAGTAACATAAGTTCTCACAGACAATGGTCCACAAAACATACGTTTCTTTTAGCCTGGGAAAATCTTATCTCAGTAACAATTAATAGTGCTTTATGTTAATTCCTTTCAGTTTCCTGTTTTCAACAACTACAGCTCAATTTTCAGATTTTTAACAGATACAGTCACAAATTTTCAGCAACATTTTCATATGGACTGAATAGTCACAATAGAATATTAACTGCAGTGTAGCAATCAGTGAAAATTTGGCTAAATAGGAAATATAGATATCTACCCAGTCGATAAGTGACTCTTGCTTAAATTTTTTTTTGTTGTTCATTAGTAATCGTAATATAGAAAGATGTATAATCTTTCTTTTTATACATCAGCTACAGGCTTCAAAATTTAAAAGGATGCAACAGGATGGAGTGAATTATTTTATAAGTATGTATGTTGTAAAAAACGCCCTTAGCTAGAGTACTGTCATTGCTGTTTTTTTGTAGCTTAGGCTGGCACTTAATATTCCTGAACACTTTGTGCTATTTTAGGCAAACTAGGTGCTTGGGTTTTTTTTTTTTGTTTTGTTTTTAAAGTAGCTTAAATGTTAGGATTATTCTCATGGCTGAAACACAGAACAGAATTGGGAGAGGGGGGAAGGCTTAATAAGCAGTCTTGAAGGAAGTTAGCCTTTCTGAGTTGTTGTATTTGTATACCAAATTGAAAAACAGTACTTGCTATATTTTATTTTCCTGTACTTCATTGCGTCTCCTCCATACACAGGACATTCAGCACACTTCGAGAACTCCTTTGAGGGATCCTCTTTTGATATTGGAGACATTTCCCTCGCTCTCTATTCTGCCTTGTTTTCTTACTCTGGTTGGGATACGCTCAATTTTGTAACAGAAGAGATCAAAAACCCAGAAAGGTAAAAGACCTGAACAGTTCCTAAGTCACTCGTCTTGTGGCTGTTTTTCACTAATGAGTTCTGAGCCCCTACAGAAGTGAGCAGAACTATTTCACTCTGAGATGGTTAGGCTAGAAGCAACACAAACTAGAAATTACTAATTTTGAACTCCGTTAAAAGATGACCAATTTTAAGAGTAAGTAAGTCTGGGTGATTGCAGGATGCTGTATACAGTGCTTGATAAGCTTTCAGCTCAAGATGTTGCATGCTTTTCTTTACAAACAGATGTTAATACTGCACTGTAACAATTACATGAGTGTGGTCTGTGCTATGTTTGTATCTGTGCAATAATTCTGATCTGTTTAAAAAAAACTTATCTTTTCCATGAATCTGTGCTGCACAAGTGTGACTAGTCTGACTAAACTCCTTTGTCTTTGTTCAGTTGTGAGTCTGTAAGCAAACGCCTTTATGTTAAAAAATAGAATCCTATTTAATCATTTTTACTTCTGTTGTAAACAACAGCTTAGTCCACTACAAGTGGAAGGTAAAGAATGGAAGAGTTCTTTAGTTCTCCTAACTGGTTTGACTTTTGTCAAAAGGTTGTTCTGTTACCCCTGCTTTCTACGCTGTGCATTTTTTTATTTAACCTGTAAAGTTACCTATAAAAAGATAAAATTGTAACTCTTAAAAATAGCTATTTTTAATGAAACTGAATTTCAGGTTGGCAGTGTTTACTTAAATTATCTTGCAAGCATTGGATATATATATATTCAGAAGAGACTTACGTTTTACGTT